GGCACTGACGCCACACACTAGATACGAAAATACGTCCTCCCTCGCAAACGGCGGTAGAAATTCTTCCCCAACGCACCACTCCTTGCTTTCTACTTCGTAGGGATCAAGTCCGTTTATGAAGCCCATCTTTTGCAGGTAACGGTCCCTGGCTTCCCTCTGCAGTGTGTCTCGGTATATTCCGCATCCTTTCTTCGCTTTTAACATCGCTGTTTACTCGTCTTTCTGCTCTGTCTCTATGCTGTTTTAGGTCTTTGTTTACCGTAGCAACTAGCTACCAATATGGCGGCGTACCCAGAATGCAACGCGCTGTGCCCGAGCCTTATCGGTCTCCGTCAGTCACGTGACATTTGTTGCTAAGACGCCATTTTGAGTGGAGAAGGCGTAGTGTAAACAGCCGCAGCACAGCCAAACAAAAGGACTAAAGGATTGAGTTTTTTTCGCCGACTACATGGAAAAAAGTAAGCAGAATGCGAAACTACCGTACCGGGAAAAACTTAACAACGAGGCCAGGGACCGTTACTTGGCCAAACTGTCGGATATTAACGGCATAGATCCCTATGATCTCCGGAGCAAAGACTGGAGCTCCGACGTCTCTTCACTGCCTCCGACCTCATCAGTGGACATAACCACTTACCTAGTGTTTGGCGTCAGTGCCTACACGTGCGAGGAATTCAAGGCATATAAATCACTGGAAGCACACGGACAGTTCACAAATGGCTGGGTTCAGGATCTGTTTTCCTACCGACCACAGATGTGCAACAACACAGTTGTTACTGCAAAGGTAAGCTCCCTCAGCGCTTCTCAAGCAAGCTCCTAAATGATGTTCAGTAATCAAAATATATTTTTTTTTATGCCCACGTTTACATAGCAGCCTGTCCAAGATAAGTCTGTACAGTTAACATAAGCCTGAAAACAGGGGCGGATTTAGAAAAATGGGGGCCCTAGGCAAAGACAGGCAGGGGGCCCTATGAATGTGGTCGCCAAAGTCTCCAGTAGCAGAAAGATTTTGCAAGATTTGGCGCTAGGCCCTTTTTTGATATTAAAGTGCTAGAAGAGCCTGTAAAGTCGCTCAAGTACAAAACCGCTCATTGTATCATTTTTTTTCAAATGGTTTGCTGCTGTCCTTTTAGCGAAAGCATTTATATCAAAAACATAATTAAAGTGCACAAGTCAGGAATAGCTGTATTAAACATACATGTTATGGGGGCCCCAGGAACTTGGGGCCCTAGGCACCTGCCTAGTATTGCCTAATGCTAAATCCCCCCCTGCCTGAACATATGTAAGACTCCCATCCCACTAAAACGTTTGTATCTGTGTTATGTTCCTTGTAGGTCATGCACTCCCAAAGACTAAACGACACACCACTGAAACCCTGGGCCATCATTGACCGATCAGGAGCCATATCATCTGCTCACTGTACATGTATGGCTGGGATAGCAGAGACCTGTACGCATGTAGCTGCCATGCTGTTCAAGTTGGAGGCCACTATCAGATGCAGGGAGAAAACAACTGTTACAGGAGAGCCTGCATACTGGATGATACCGAACAACATAAACAAAGTGGGAGCGGAGGTGGGACACAAGATCGATTTTACATCATCAAAAGCTAAACGGAAAAGCCTAGACCAACTCTTGGATGGTCAGGCCGAACACATGCCAGCGCTCAGAACTGTCACAAGCACCTGCACAGGCAACACCAGCACACAGGACCAGTGGAGCGCATATCTTTGTGAACTGCAGAAAGCCTCACCTAAAGCTGCTGTTTTGTCTTGTGTACCAGGATTTTGTGATTCATTTGCAGACACATTACAGCCATGTCCTGCACCAGATTCATTGTCCCGACTGCGTGATAAAAAAATGGATTGCAGTGATTTGTCTGCGTTACGGTTGCACTGCAAAACTTTGTTAAAAAAGGCAGACATTTCACAGGACCAGGCCCACTACATAGAATTGCATAGTAGATCACAGCACAGATCCTCAACATGGTATCGGTTTCGCACAGGAAGGGTAACAGCATCAACCATGCACGCAGTCTTTCGGTCAGATTTGGACAACCCTGCAGTTTCAACCGTCAAAGCAGTATGTGGCACAAACAGCGGTGCAACCAATCATTGTGCTGCCACTGTATGGGGGAGACAAAATGAACAGAGAGGGCAAACACAGTACAAACAGAAAATGGAAAACCAACACTGTGACTTTGAGCTAAGCCAGTCTGGGTTCATTATCAACCCCAAGTTTCCCCAGGTTGGAGCATCACCTGATGCAATTGTACTGTGCACCTGCTGCGGAAAAGGCTGTGTCGAGATAAAGTGCCCATTCAAGTACCGAGAATACCATTCTGGAGGCATGCAGGAGTGGTGATAAAAATTTCTGTTTGGAAATGGTGGATGGAAAGCTGCAGCTTAAGAAGGAGCATCCATACTACAAACAAGTGCAGACCCAAATTTTTGTTGCTAATGCAGCATATTGTGACTTTGTAGTGTGGACCCTGAAAGACATTGTCGTGTTACGTGTGGCACCTGACCCCAAGCTGTGGAATGCACTCCTTGAAAAGGCACAGCAGTTCTTTGAGCGTGTGTGTCTCCCTGAACTGGTCAGCCACTTCTTCACACGTGATGCACAACGAGCACCGCTGACAGACAGCTCTGATCCTGTAAGGAAAAGACCTTGCAAGGCTGCAAAACCTCTGGCTGAAAAAGCAAACAACATTGTAGCAGCTGACAAGCTATGGTGTTTGTGCCATGGACCGGAGGCCAAAGATGACATGGTGGCCTGTGACAATGAAAACTGCCCCATCGTTTGGTTTCATTTGAGTTGTGTTGGCCTACACCTCAAAGATGCTCAGTCTGATTTTTGGCTTTGCCCTCAGTGCTCGAATTCAAAAACTTAAACTGTCTTTGTTAATTTAAATGTGTTTTGCAGTGATGTTTGTGTGTTTACATATGTTACCAGTATGTTAAGCTATTGCTTGTGTTTACTTTTGCACTGATCACTTGACACTGGAAGTGCTCAAATTTAAAAACTTAAACTGTTTTTTTTTAAGTGTGTTTTACAGTGATTTTTTTGTGTTTACATATGTTACCAGTATGTTAAGCTATTGCTTGTGTTTACTTTTGCACTAATCACTTGACACTGGAAGTGCTCAAATTTAAAAACTTAAACTGTTTTTTTTTTTTTTTTTGCAGTGTTGTTTGTGTTCACCAGACAAATGTAGCTGAGCACCTTATACTACTACCTCTTCACTTTACATATGTTACCAGTATGTTAAGCTATTCCTTGTGTTTACCTTTTGCACTGATCACTTGACAGTTAAATGCACACATAAAAACAGTTCAACTTAATATTTTTCTCAATGACCCATGTTCTTTATGCTACCAAAAAAAAGGAATATTTACAGTTTTAGAAGGTTTTAGAAGACTTTTATTATTCTAAAAAGAATGTTTACAAGTTTTCAGTGTTTGACAATTTTTTATGATGCTACAAAAGAATGTTTACAGGTTGATATTTGCAGGTTGTGGGGATATTTCTATTATGCTAATGTTTACAAGTTTTGTTGAAAAAAGTTTATTGTGCTAAAAAAGAAAGTTTACAGTGTGTACAAGCCTTCCTTATGCACAAGTAAAAAAATCAAAATGCATTTACATCTTGGGTGATTTCTGTATCTACACCACAGTTGGACAATGATTTGTCAGGGCACAGCACACAGTGACGACCTTATCCAAGAATGTGACCTCTTCTCCAGCACAGGGTAAAACCATTGAAATAGGAATAGTTCCATTTAAGATTTTGTACTTTTGACATACATTTCCAATCACCCGTTCAACATGGATTCTCAAATGTGCTATTTTCCTAGTTTCCTCCACATCTCTAGCTGCTAACTGACAGTGGCCTTTGGTGAATGCTGGGAGTTTAACTTCAGCACACAGCATGCCCTCACACTCCTGTATGTCAAAACCTCTGTCAGCCAAGACCAGGTCCCCAGGCAACAAATTGTCAAGGAAGCCACTGTTCAGCGTGATGTGTTTGTCGCTTGTACGACCTCCCCAGCCTTTGGACAAAAAACAAATGGCTCCTTTGGGTGTCACACCTATTAAATATTTCATGGTGTGATTGTGCTTGTAGCTGGAGAACATTTGGGCACGCGCTTTTAGGTTTGATGGTTTTTCTGTAAATATCTCAAAGCAGTCAATAATCACTGCTACTCTGTTTCCAAAGGCCTCCTTGAACTGATGTGGCATTACTTTGCGGAGAGTGTCTGTCTGGCCATATAATAGCACGCCTCAAATTTGCATAAAGACATGAAACCATATCATGAAATGTTCTTTGTGCAGTCCTTGGAGAAATATGAAACAGATAAGCAAGGTGCTGCAGAGGCAAATCCAATCTTAAGCGCATGAGTGTGAATAGGAGCATCTGAAAAGGAGTAAGACATTTCTTTTGATATGACATGAGTGGCAATAAAAAATTAAAGAGCGCCAGGAAGGTTGCAAGGTTTGGCAGACCAGTGTAATACTTTACTTTTTCATCATCAGCTCCAAAGAAACTATCGGATATCATGTTCTCATTAAGTTTGCGTCGCAGTTCTATATTCTCTTCTGTCAGGCGGTTGACCTCTGCACGCCTGAGCACACACAGGTCACATTCAGGCTGAGTCACAGTTTCAGTGGGGTTCTGCACCTCCTTGTTTGTGATCAGCTGAGGGTTTTCTTCTCCAATCTCCTGCTGAGGGTGTTCTTGGTTTTCTTCTCCATCCTCTCTGATCTCCTGCTGAGGGTTTTTTTCTCCATCCTTTCCAACCTCCAGCTGACCATTTCCTTCTTCAGCATCACATGTCTCCTCGGTCAGTAGCCCGTCAGTGTTTACATCCTGGTGTATGCCTGTCTCTGCTGACTGAAGGGTCTGTTTCCGTGTCTGCTCCCGTGCCCTTCGTCTGGCAGAGCGACCAGGGTCTGTTGGTTTGATAAACGTGTGTCCAAGATGTAAGGATGGGGCCCAGTCTGGGTCACTCTCCATCATCTCATAAGCTGGCTCACCTGAAACCACATGTTAGGTTTGATTTAGAAAGCAAGTTCATACTGGATAAGGCTATGTCTTATATCAAATTAATTAATTAATTTAATATGGGTGTTTAAATCTGTTTTTGAAATAATAAAAAATAATAAGTTAGAATAATGGTGATTATGAATAATAATAAAACACAAATAATGCATTTTCTGACGTTTTTTAAGTAATATTAAAAGTTTATGTTACCTTTATGAAAGTGCCGAGAACAAACACACATGTGGGGGAATGTTTTGTTGAAAATGAGATCCTTTCTCCTCACTGCTGAAAGCCAGGCCATGCGACGTCTCTTTGTTATTTCCTCCAATTGAGGTCCGTGTGATCGTTTCCAGGTTGGAAAACGGAAAAAACGGATTCCTTCGTCCCCCGATCTGCCATGCCGGGACTGGCAGCCTCTCACACAACACGATCGGGCCATTTCAGGTTAATAATTGTGCCGAAAGAACAGCCGCGTGTGGGTTAACTCGACTTTCCGCCTAAAATGGTGGTTTTCCCACGATGCACCGCGCCCGAGGTAAACAATGACGTCACCTGGCGGAGACCGATTGGCAGTTTTGCTCAACCAGTTAATCTTTAGCTTTAGCTTAGCATGTTGATCTCCTCTAAGCAGTTTTCCAATCAGATGAGGCTAAAATCCACAGTGTGCATCATCAGGGAATCGTTTCTATCAGGTGTTTCCTACCTATCCGGTGTAAGATGATCTGGGGGATCCTGGTGAAATCCAGCAGTAGATGTTGATCGTCCATCTTTTCCTCCGAATTGACCAAACTCCCTTTAAACTCCGTGAATGTTTCTTCAGCAGGAGTTAACTGCTCGGTGATAAACTCTCCTTGAAGCTGGACTGAAGACATTCTCACTGCAAACACTCCCAGATTATCAGCCTCTCTACAATGACTCCACACACAAGCTAAGCTAATGCTGCTAGCTGCTAGCCGATCCGTACCAGCAGCTCATTTGCGCATGCGCAGCTAGATCTACATCCGCGTCACCCTCGACTTTATTTCTTTAAAAGACCATCTTAATTACGTTTTACCTTCCCTAACTTACATTGTTTTATATAGTACATAATCTAAAGAAAGAAACTACTTAAATGCAGATAGACCTGATTTAATCATGCTGCAGGACTGCTCTGAGCGCGTCTGATAATGACGTCAGAGAAGCATTTTTTTCTTTTTTTCATAACTTTATTTGGAACAGTAACAATGACAAACTCAAACAACACAGTATAAAAAAAATAACTTATAGTCAATCATACCTCCTAACACTTTTCTTTATATTTTTTTTTCTTTTCTTTCACGTTGCGAGGTAAACAGATGATTAGTTTATGCAATACACTTCAGAAAGAGAGAAAAAAAAATCTAAATCCAAAGATATCTAGAATTACATATGTTGAATATAACAGAATTATAATGAAAGATAAATGAATAAATAAAAAAATACAAAACACACACCAAAAACAAGTAAGCATTATTCTTTAATTTGTATGGAGGGAGGGCTGAAATAAACTAGAGAGGTGAAATGACAAACTTTTTGCTTTTGGTTTCCGAATTTTGTCCAAGGAAAGGGTTAGAAGATGGATCTCCTGTTTAAATACAGACCATATTGGTTTAGCTTTTCCACACCTGCATTTATGTAAATAAAATGTGATGTGATGATAATGCTATTAATGAGATATTCATCTCTTTTGTTTTCAGATAAAAAGCCATATAAGACAGTTTGTGATGAGAAGGGGGCTATGTTTATGAGTTTACTAGTCAGTAGAGTATGCAAAGATTCCCACAATTTTTTGATAGGTTGGCAGAGAAAGAAAAAGGTGTTCTGTTGTTTCGCTTTCATTACATATATAGCAGTTATCTCATTCAATTTAAATCTATTTCTTATCAGATCATTTGAGGGGTAAATATCATGTAGAGTTTTGAAATGCATTTCTTTATATTTTGGTGGGAGCTCCAATTTTAAAAACTGACATTTAATTTATTTGGTCTTTCTTTTCATAGTTATCCATAAATTTCCTTCTAACCAGTCCAGGGTTTGTCTGTTTTACTAAATGTTGTCTTAAAAACTTATTATTGCATTTTTTGTCTAGTAAATCTGAACCATTTATTACAATATTCTGTCATTTAATCACTTGCTTTGTATCATAATTGTTTTTTATGAGCTGAATAAATACATTTGGTATTATTTTCATCATTTTTTCATAATTTTTTTTTTTGTACAGCTTAGATTATATTATTGCATTAAAGCTTCATATGCATATGTATTGCCATTATGATCCAATAAATGACTAGTTGACCAGATTCCCTTCTCCATCCAGTTTTCCATAAAAACAGACTTTTTCTGGTATAAAATGACTCTGTTATTTCACAGAGGAACATTATGGGGACTAAAGTTATGTTTGAATGCCAATTTCCAATTTAACAGCACTTGCTGGTGAAACGCAGAAAGTTTTACAGGTAATTTATGAATCTCAAAATCACATCTCAACAGGAACTCAATACCACTGAATTATAATTCAGTGTATTGTTGACTTTCATTAGCAATGCATCAATCCAGGCCCACCAAAACTCCAACTGTTTTTGGCTCAGTGTTAGAGCTATGGTCAATAGATATTAGAATGAAGTAGATCTATAGAGGAGTCTCAGATGAAGATTTGGGACATATAGAAGTGTGTGTCAGTCTCAGAGTTAGTCAGCTACAAGCTAATCAATGTTGCAAAGTAGTAGCAATTTTTGCTGATCAGTTTGAACCTGCTTTAACTTGGTAAAAAGCCTTTGTCTTATTAATGTATTAAAGAAATCTGACTCTCCTCTAGAAGTGTGAAGTTTCTGCTTTTTAAAGATTTTTTGAAAGTATAATTTTCCTTTGAACTAATTCTAATAGTTTTGTTCTTGATTCTGTAGATGTTCTATTTACCTGCTATGATTGAAAGTAACTATCACCTATTTTATACAACTGATTTTATGGATTATTTTCTGCTGTGGATGTTTTTAATGATTGTAATCACTTCTAAATTGATGAATGAGCAGCAATAAAAACCTCATGGATTGTAAAAATGTGTTTCTTTATCTGGTTTCATATAAATTAGAAACAATCTTTTTCCAAGTTTTCTCTGATATTTTCAGACAAACTAAAGCTGTAAAATAAATACACTTCTCAAAGAAATCAAAGGAACACTTTTAAAACACAACAAATCTCAATGGGGAAAAAACCATGCTGTTTATTTCTACTGATATGGACTGGGTGATGTTAGGAACAAAAGGATGCCACATCATTTGATGGAAATGAAAATGATCAACCTACAGACGGCTGAATGCAAAGACAGTGAGAAAATGATTTTGCAGGCTAGTCCATTTTTCTGAAATTTCAATGCAGCAACTCAAAATGGTATTCAGTAATTTGTATGGCCCTGTATGGCCCCCACGTGCGTGTATGCATGCCTGACAATGTCGGGGCATGCTCCTAATGAGATGAGAAAATGATTTTGCAGGCTAGTCCATTTTTCTGAAATTTCATTGCAGCAACTCAAAATGGTATTCAGTAATTTGTATGGCCCTGTATGGCCCCCACGTGCGTGTATGCATGCCTGACAATGTCGGGGCATGCTCCTAATGAGACGACGGATGGCGTCCTGGGGTATCTCCTCCCAGATCTGGACCAGGGCATCACTGAGCTCCTGGACAGTCTGAGGTGGAACCTGGCGGCGTGGGATGGATGGAAACATAATGTCCCAGAGGTGTTCTATTGGACTTAGGTCAGGCGAGCGTGGGGGCCAATCAATGGTAACAAGTCCTTCATCCTCCAGGAACTGCCTGCATAATTTTGCCACATGAGGCCGGGCATTGTCGTGCACCAGGAGGAACCCAGGATCCACTGCACCAGCATAGGGTCTGACAATGGGTGCAAGGATTTCATCCTGATACCTAATGGCAGTCAGGGTGCCGTTGTCTAGCCTGTATAGGTCTGTGCTTCCCTCCATTGATATGCCTTCTCAGGCCATCACTGACCCACCACCAAACCGGTCATGCTGAACGATGTTACAGGCAGCATAACATTCTCCATGGCTTCTCCAGACCCTTTCACATCTGTCACATGTGGTCAGGGTGAACCTGCCCTCATCTGTGAAAAGCACAGGGCGACAGTGGCGGACCTGCCAATTCCGGTGTTCTGGGGCAAATACCAATCGAGCTCCTCGGTGCTGGGCAGTGAGCACGGGGCCCACTAGAGGACCCTCAGGCCAATCTGGTGAAGTCTGTTTCTGATTGTCTGTTCAAATGCGACGTGTCTTAATGGTGAGGTTGTATTCATTTGACCAATATAGATAGACGGAACAGGGACAGGACAAAGGAGAAGAGGTTAGGTAGGAAAGAAGAAGGTGCGACAGAAGAAAAGAAAAGGTAGGAAAGGAAGAGAGGAAGAAAAGCTGAAAGTGAATAGATGTTAGGGGGAATGAAGGGAAGGGGATAGAAGACAAGACAATAAATATATATCTATTTGTGTGTATTTATATTTGAATAATTTCATTTTTAAAGAAAGAAAAATAAAATTGTATATATATATATATATATATTGTCCCAGACATGTCCACTCTTTACATTCTGACTGGAGGAGGATTATACATTCATGAAAATGTCTGGTTTTCACTCTTTTTATGGGGCCTTAATCGTATACTTAAATCAACTGCCACTTTGCAAAGAAAAAAAGATAATCAGAAGCAGCCATAGCTGTATTATGTTCTGTTCCACAGCAATGAAGTGAAGCTTTGAGTTTTATGAGGTGTGTTGAATGGACAAAAGTTTAGGGGTAAACCCTGCTTATCCAGACACTTCAGAAGAAACATCTCTTCCTAAAACACTCAGCAATATCTCTGCTGGAATAGGTTTTGCTGTCAAACTGGGAAAACAAAGTTCATTGGTCTGTTTTTAACATGTTCTTTTAACCATCTTTGCCGTAACCTGGGTTTGAACCAGTGTTGCTGCGGCCACAAAGCAGAGTACTGACCGCTATACGATCACGGCTGCCTCTTCCATGTCTTCACATCCGCTCTGTGTTTTCTGACCTACCTCACTCAGAGACATTGATATCACTGCAGAATCTTATTATTGGATTAAGATATGCTGAGTTTGGAAGTAGAGAACAAACATAGTTCATACAACAAAAAGAAAATATTTGGGCAGAAACTGAATATATGCTGGATGCTGATGTGGATTTTTTTTTTGCGCCATATTAAATTAAGCGTTAATTTCCACATGTTTAGTTCCTATGAATTCAATAATAATATCAGGCATATTCTGCTCGACCTCAGAGGAAGTCGGAGCTGAGCAAGACGGGAGAAAAAGCGGAGACTGTAGGCTTTGCTTTGAGCAGGAGGTCTGGAGTGGAACGGGGCGGAGTGGCAGATGTTGGGTTTCGGGGTAAGGAAGGAGCTGGGATCAGGATGTTGGATGCTTCCTAGCTCCAATGCAGTTAGCATAGGG